GCAAATCACATCAGCATGATGAAGAACATCAGAACCACAAGCTCGACTCAGAGCGCCTTCACTTGATAGTGATACTTTATGCATTGTCTCGCAGCTAGTTTGGTGGCCTATGTGATCCGAACCCAACTGGAATGAGTTTAGCTATAAGAAACCAAATTTTCCAGAGAACAATAAGATGCCTACTTATTGTATGTAGAGTGAAACACCAGACAAAGTGGGAATGTAAGCTTTGTGATATATGTCTTCTCTTCAAAATTCCACGTATAGAACACAATGTGTACGACGAAAATCTTGAAAATAACTTTTAATAAGGATGTTGACGTTTTTCGATGCATCAATTCAAATTTTCTGCTCATAAAAAAACAATAATCTATTTGAGTTATTCGCGCGCTAAACGTTATCGTAACAGTTTTTGCGGTAAAAAATATGACTACCTCAATATCAGCGCTATAGCTCAGCCATTCCACGTTGTTTATTCTTCGAAAAACGCAAGAAAGAGATGAGATCATGCTAATTGAGAAGCCTGCAAAAACTGTATGGGTGTGTGGATTGATTCAAGTGAAATCAATTCTTTTTCTTGTGAGCGGAAAATTCACACTTTTTGCAACCGATGCCAAGTAAAAACGTTATATGACTAAACTGCTAAAAATGGGCCTTTATAGCCTAGGTTAATTATTTTTTTCTAAACGTCATAAATGAAGTCGATATCTTAGCGAAATGGGTCGATATTTTAAAATTTTCATCCTTCTTTTATAGATTCAATGTAGTGGTAACTATAAGAGAATTTGCAGGTGTCTGAAATTTTGTGAATGTCATCTTTAAAATGATACTGCCAGGAAAACTGAACACGAGGATATCCTTGGTCTTTAAATTGAACAATTGGATTGCATTTTGCAAAAAGAAACCGCTAGCATTGCAATGATGCTAAGATTGTGCATCTTCATCCTTTACAATAAAATTGCGGAAATTATGAAAAACTATGAAATTTAGATGGTAATTTTTGTCTTAAATTTACAGTTTTTAGCGAGTAAAATAGAAACTATTAAGGGATAATCGGGTTTTTCCTCCAAGACAAAAGAAGTTGCACAATCTTAGCAACATTGCAATGCTAGTGGTTCCTTTTTGCAAAATGCAATCCAATTATTGGAGGAAATATAACAAAATAACGTAATCTCACAGAAGTTCTCACATTTTAAAATCTATTTTTCTCCAATTTCTCATGTCAGAAAAAAATTATGAAAAAAATGCTATTTCAGCTCATTAGGCACTCTCAGATGAAGCAATAAAATTGTGTGCAAATTCTCCATTTGAAATCAATTCATGAGAACTATTCCTCACCCGCAGAACATCGTTGGAAGAACAGTGCTGTCGAGAAGATGGAAAGTAGGAAGAGAAAACCTCTCTGCATTTTTATGCCACGAGCCCTCGGGAAAATTGTCACCTGTTAATTGAACTTGTCTTCTCCGCGAATTTAACAGTTTTCCTGTTTCCTGACGGGAAAAACTTGCTTTTCTTTTGTAGCAGACATTGTGATTATCATCTGGCACCGAATTACTGGCGCACCCCTCTTTTTTCATACCCGGTTAATAGTCACGCAACTGAATGCCGTTACCTCTGTCAAATTCGTCTTCTAATTGCCTTTTTAATTCGTAGTCCTCAACCTCGGCCTTATCTAGAGAATATTTATAGGGAGAGTATGTATCGAAAATTTGGAGGTAAGGTTTGATCAGGTCATGTAGCTCTTGGGGCTCAAAAAGGCAGCCAACCTATGAACTCGAATTATCCAGCGGCACTTATTTAAACTCCAAGAGTAGGCACACTGATCAAAAATTATTAAAGCACGTATAAAACCTTGATTTTGCATAAATTTTCTCAGTTTCAAAGTCTTAATCCTTAAAAACATCATATACAACGGGCTGTCGGCCCTATTGATTAATCTTTCAAATGCATAGGTTGGCAGCGGCACTTTTCTAGTGATTTTTGTTTTTCATGTTCCCGCCCTTTTGGGCCCTAAGAGCTACATACCTAAGTCGAGTTGTCCATACTCTCCTTATAAAGGTACTATAGCTTATATAGTCAAGCAACGATTCGCGAGACGTCACCGGAATAAGCAGGGTTGCCACAGTCAGGGAAAACCGGGAAACGTCAGGGGATTTTAAAAAGTCAGGGAAAACCTGGAAATGGCAGGGAAAAATTGTCAAGTCACCTTCATTTCCTCTCTAGAATGGCTTTAAAGTTTTGAACAACAAATTTTGCCTGAAAACTATTTCAAATCATGTTTTTTAAGTATCTGGCATATCCTCCATTGTCAGGAAATTTTTACCAAAATATGACAGAGATATCAAGGAATTTCGTTCTCTACATTCTGTGGCAACCCTGAATTAGTTCGCAGAGCTTTCAGTTTGCCTTTTTTAGTGCGCAGAAGGAACAAGTTATACTCGGCTACAACTTATTCCGCCGAAATTCCGGGAACATGTCCCCATGTGAACGAGCCCTTCCTTGTCAAAGACGAATTGATTTGTTCGAATAGCGAGGAACTCATAAAGTGCACTCAGTGTGTATTTGCATTGAGTGCACTGAAAAAAAAAGTTAGGGGCTACTTGGACATACTGTCCGTACCAGGCTCTGAGGCTGAAAGTTCCGGGTGCTGGAGCCGTAGCTTCGACTGCTCCAGGTGCTATGCCCCAAAAGCGGACGGTATGTCTATATAGCCCGTAAGTGCGGCTTCCACGGCCGGAGTTTTTTTTTATTTTTTTTTTTAAATTTTTTTTTTAGTGTGACAATGCGCTATATGTATACTCGATCATCAATCAACCTATTGCTACAAATCTTCAAAGTGCAGTCTAATCGATTTTAAGTCCTCGTTTTTGTCCCTATAAAACCGATTTATATTCCCTAGAAACTTATGTAATTTTACACAGTATTGTTTGTATGTAGTAAAATAAACGAAACGTATGGAAAGGAAAGTATATTAACAAACGTGACACATAGGTAATGATAATAATGAATAGCTCGTTCAACTTTGTATCGATGCGGGGAAAGTATGGACGTATCGAAATATGAACCTTTGAGAACCCAAAAGGGCAGGCGACCCTCTAACACATGAACACGAGGAAAATGCCACTGATAATCTTCAGATTCCAACATAAAGCAAAATAGTCAAAAAGGTGTATAAATGAGCGCCCCTCGTGACAATGAGGGACCCAAAATGAGTTTCAAGCCGACTTAGTCCAATACGTGCTTCACAAAAAACGGGTCGTATATAACAATTGTAATGATAAATTGATTATGCTGGTCAATTTGAGGTCATAGGTTAGCTGCCTTTTTTGCCCTTAAGAGCTTAATGACCTATCTTTCGAAATTACCGATATGTCCATACTCTCCTCATTACACAGAGAGAAATTTTAACACAAAAGTTTGGTTAGTACGGGAAGTTGAACAAAAAATCACCCTAGCCATAGGATGAAAATTTCAAGAGAAAATGCCAGCTAGTTTTCTTGAAGTTTATTAAGAAAGCAAGTAGTTAATAGCAACGTCGCAGTCGGAGGAATGCATTTTCCCAGTCTCTCAATTTTTTTTAAGCGCCAAATTAACCGCAAACTGTACTAAAATCAACACAAAATGTGTGATAGATTGTGTTTCACTTTCTTTATGAACAAAAAGTAACGAAATAACTCAAATATTTTTATTAGCGTATAGGTACTCAGGTGTTACGCTATCACTATCGTGATAGCGAAGAGAGCAGTAAGTGCAAAAATTAAGTTTTGAGAAAACGGTCTCGGAAGCATCTGACCGGAAAGTTTTATTGAAAGAAGCCTCCTTTCTTTGTCAAATTGCCACTAGTCGTCCGAAAGACTCCTAGAAATCGTTTGGATGACTAAAAATCAACTGACTTTATTTCAATTACTTAAAAAGGGTATTTCTCATTTTCATGCCAAGCTAGTGTTAAGCAAGTCAATCGTAAGTGCTATCTTTCGCATGCTCTCGTGGTTGCGTTTTGGACACACAACAAACACATTTTCAGGTTAGAAATCGGCAGAGGAGGGCGGTAATTTACTTGAAAGTACCGATTTCCTTGGCTTTTCTGGATGAAAAACGTCATTTACTACTGTTTCGTCTGAAACTATGTCATTTTTTGCGCACTTACGGCTTTCTCAAATGTCTAATTTCGATACAACTAAGATGATGTTTGCTGTTTTTGCTATTTCAATAATTTCATCTAAAAGAAACCAGACGAATTTTGAAGGAAACTCGATCGCGAAAAGTTGACACTTACTCTGCCGTGCTAAGGAAGAAAGCCGCATAAACATTTGGGATCTGCCAAATTTCCTTCGATAGAATATTTATGTTTTACAAAAATTTGAATATTAATCGTTGACATTTTCAGCAACTTTAGGTGGAATTGCGAACAAAATTATCTGAAAAATTGGGAGGAAAATATCCATAATTTTACCAGGAAATTTGTGTTTGACCAAAGGAAATTTGGCAACGGCTGAAGGTTCACACGGCGTTTTTCCTTAGCACGGCAGTACTGCTCTCCTCGCTATCACGGCAGTACACCAAGGTAGATTTACACAGGTATGGACAAGTTGAAAATTTCCCATGAGCCTCAGTACGTGTCACATGACTACGTGACGTAGGTGAAGGGGCCCGTTTTTTAATTCAATTACAATCAAATTAACATTCAAACGTTTGTGCGTTTAAACGTTAAAATTAATATCGCATTATCAAAATTGTTTAAAAAATCCCACAAAATTTTGACAAACGATAAACCGAACATAATAAATCAAAATAATCAAAACATACAAAATGGCGGAAGTTAAGGGGGCCGTTGGAGAGCCGATCAGAGGCCAGTTGTTTAGCTCTGTCCATACCTGTGTAAATCTACCTTGGCAGTACACCTACATTGCCGCATGGGGCTAGAGTTGTCTCTTCTTGGCTTCCTCCATTTCGTTGAATTTGCGAATTTGCTCCTTTAGCTCCCGATCCTTTTCCTCATCCGATTTGAAGACCACCCCTTCCGCGTACTGCAGATTATTCAGAACATCCCCGAAGCCGGATGCACTGTCCTTCTGGGAGGGAGTCCCGCTGGCCCCGCTGGCTGTTTTGGTTAAAGCGGCTTTTTTAGCCGCGAGCAGCTTCTCTTGTTCGGCGGCTCTCTGAGCCGCTTGCAGTTTCTCCTCGGCAGCCCTCTTCTTCACGATGTCATTCAGTTGTTCGTAAGTGATGAAGACCATCCCTAGATTCTGCAGCTCGTCCCGGCCTTTCTTCGTTCTCCCGAAGAAGTTGAGGAGCGCGTATCTCTTGGCCACCTGAGAATGAGATACAGACAGTTAAACTTAATTCAGGGTGTCTACAATACGGAAAAAGTTCGGATACACCGGTTTCAGGAACGATTTTTCGTCCGCGCACCTGTTTTGTCCAGTAGTTTACGTCCACGCGTAAAACAAGCAGCACTTACTTGGATTGCATTTTGCAAAAAGGAACCAAAAGTTTTACGACGATGCTAAGATTGTGCATTTTCATCCTCTGCAATAAAGTTACCGGAAACATGAACAAATATGAAAACTACATTGTAATTTTGTCTTAAATTTACAGTTTTTAGTGAGTAAAATACATAGAAACTGTAAATGAATAATCAGGTTTTTCCTCCAAAAGAAAAGAAGTTGCGCAATCTTAGCAACATCTCAATGCACCTGGCTCCTTTTTGCAAAATGCAATCCACTTGGTCTAAGCGTTATATTTTAGTCCGTCTGTAAAATTATATTGGCAATATTGAAATGAGAAAATTGAGAGAGAAAGGAATGTTGTTATGGTAGCGCATTTTTTCAATGAAATGTCACTTTCTTCTTTTGGTTCAGATTTTCAAATTGTCATTGGTGAGTATAGCCCGATCTATACTTACACTGATGTTATACACGATAACCTCAATGTTGAATGTGTAAAAGATGTTATAAATCGCCTAGTTATATCTTACTACCTTCGGCTCTCTATTCATCCAAATCATTTAGCACTGACTTTAACTGATAACAGTTTAACTGTTCGAAGGCTTAAACGAAAACATGTTCTAGATCTTCTCCTGGACCAGCCAGATACAGAATTCTAATCTTCCCCTCATTTGTTTCACTACATGTTTCATTGTATCGTTATTTTTAACATTATCAAACTCAATTAATCCTTGTCCTAGCAGTTAAGTGCTGCAATTCCCGCTTGCATTATGGCCGTCAGTTATGACTTACCGCTAGCGAACCCTGCTGGAGATCTCAGAATGCTGAGTTTCTCCCCACTCGTTCTTTTTAGCCAATGATCGTTCCCGTGAGGCTTTTTATCCAACTTCAACCAAATACTGTGTCTGTAGATTGTTGTTATTTCACTCAATAAAAAAAAAAAAAAAAAAAAAAAAAAAAAAAAAATTCTATCCTTAAAATTTTCTATGTAAAATATACCTTATTTATACCCTTTTCTTAAATGAAAGTATTACTTCATTCTAAAAGGATTTGCATTTTTGAAACGTGGCAAATATTCTTAAAACCTTTTGACGTTAATCTCAATGAGCCGTCGTTGTGTTGAAAAAAAACTATACAATAATTAATAAAAGAGGGGAAAAAACGAAGAAGCACGCAATCTTTGGCTTTAACCTATTCGCACATCGATCATTTAGAGTCAAATATATTCAATATTGAGCGTTTGGTTGCGCGTACACCACGCTGCAGCACATTAAAATCACAAAATATCAAAGAAATAAATAAAATTAAAGTGGTTTGGAAACAATTAAATTTGACCCGGAATCACCTTAATATTTACAAAACAGACCTCATATTTTACTTTAATACATATTCTATTCATCAATTTAAATGAGAATAATCCATGCAGAGTGTGAAAACATTTCAATATCACGAGTTGAAAAACGCTGACTTCATGAGTTTAAATAGTAGAGCTTAACATAGAGCGGAGCGGCGTGCTGCCAGCGCGAAATCGTGCGTGCCGGCGCAATAGCGCTTACAAACCTAATGGGATACTTCAAGCATTGCGCAATGCGTGAAGTATCCCTGTTAGGTTTGTAGGCGCCTATGCGCCTGGTTGCCCGCCGCGCTGCGGAGTGCCACGGCGCTTCAAGCAACTATTTCACATCAGAGGTATTGCATAGCATCATACGAAATTGAAGGCGCTCCAACATATGAATGACGGGCATCCTTTAAGAGTACGAAGCTTTCCTCTCAAAATAAATTAAGATACCACGGCACCAAAAGCGAGCGGTAGTCCAAAAATTCATGAAATCCTTACTTAATATATAATTATTTACATCTGTTTTTAATATCGTTTAGCATAATTTTTGTAAATCATTAGAAAAAAAGTGATTAGACTTAGGCCGAAACATTCTTGAGTATGTCGTCAAGAAGATTTTATTTTGAATCAAGAATAAAATAACTGATTTAAAGCGGGGTTTTGCTTGACGTAAGTGATGTTTCTTTTTACGTAAATATCTTTTTTTTCTTTAAACAAGCATTATTTTTTTATTGATTCTTGAGGAAATCTTATCGGCGGTAAATTAGAGCATATTTCTGCTTGAATCAAGCCGCAGTAACCGTCGGAAGAGACGTGATTTGTCGTCTCGGTGAGAACTAAAATAAAACATTTTTCTTCCTGATTTACCTTCTTGCTGTGGTGTTTGGTAATGTAATCTTTAAGCTCCTTTGACACCATGCACTGACACTTTCCGGGGATGATCTTTCGCGAGGCCCTAGAAGCGAGCTGGTACTGGCGATGTTCGTCCCTGAAATACCCGTGTTTAAATTTGCACCTGTCTTCACATTTGTTCTTGGAGAACATGAGCAGTCCCTTCCAGTGCCGTAACTTCCATGAGACTAAAAACATCCGAAACAATACACCGATAAGTAATAGATTCTTTGACGTCTGCATAGTTGTACCGCACGCCCTCCAGCAGTCCCTCAGCGATAAGGGAATGTTCTACTTTCGACATTCCTCCACGTGAGCCTTAAAATTATCGTCTCGCTGGCTGCATAGCACAGGTTGAGCAAAGCGATGGACAGACAATGGAGAATTTGTAGGTGTCTGAAATTTTGTGAATTTCATCTTTAAATGATTCTGTTAATAAAATTGAGCACGAAGATATTCTTGGTATTCTTGGTTTCTAAATTGAACGATTATTAGAGGAAATATGGCAAAATAACCGAAGCTGCTAAAATACATGTTTTTTAACGGAAAATGCCGCCAAATGACGTCATAACTCACAAGGCACATTTTCTCACTTTTAAATCAAATTTTCTCCGATTTCCCATGTCAGAAAAAAATTATGAAAAATACGGCGAACTCACAATCAGCTCACGAGGTACTCTCAGACAAAGCCATGAAATTTTTGTGTGCAAATTCTCCATTCGTTTGATCAAATTGTTGGGCGAACTGCGCACTCAACACATTCGACTTAAAATCTGACAAAAGGTTAAAATAGGGCTTTTGGTCGTGAGGAAATGTCGAACAGTGCACTTTTCGCCATTGCTTGCATAGGCACCAGTGGAGGGTATCTATTTTCCTCTTGTAAAGAAGGAAACAGAACTTATTTTAGATTATACTTATTACATATAGAAGGGAACTTATCCTTACGTGTAGAACATGGATGGAAATACAGTGCTGCTAAAGAGATGAAGATCAGGATGAATATGCGTTCTCTCATTTTCGTCGGTTCGTCTTCAATACGGGCACGCTCAAATTGTACTTATCCTCTGCAGATATGCCAGCTTTTCTCTTTCTTCGGGGGAGGACAAATTGCACGTATGGTCCAGACATGCGGTTCAAAATCGCTGACGCGCGTACGTTTTTTCTGTCCCGGACGTTTGTCACGCATCGTCACGCGACAGACGTCCGTTGCTGATTTTGTCGTTTCCCGGACGAAAGAACGTAACTCTATTCCAAGGTTGCAAAATTGACTCAAACGCTTTGAATTATAACGAGGCGGGGTGCTCTAGTTTAATTACAAAGCGAGTGGAAATTTTGCAACTTGGATATCCAGTTGCGTTCTTTCGTGGGGAAAACGACGATTGACATAGTAGGATTCCCCCTCCCCCCGTTTTTTGAATGATCATCAGAATGGATCACTAGACAAGGTACGAATTTAAGCAATCTGATACATGTTTCTTAACCAGAATTTCACGTAAAACACGATTCACACAACAAAAATTACTAAAACTTACTCTTAACGAAGATATTAACGTTTATATTACACATTGGTCACGAGGAATTTGAACTGCCCGCTCACAAGAAACTCAAAGCTCTACGTGAGTCAAATCGCACACTACAACGGTTTCAACAAGCTTCTCATCAATCTAGCAATGCTCATTTCCCGCCACGTGTTGTTCAAACTATAAGTAATTTGCTATAGCTGAGCCAAAGCGTCAAGATCGAGGTTGCCAGATTTTTATATCGCAGAGACTGTCATGATAACGTTTAGCGCGCGATGTGAATCACGTAGAGCATTGAGTTTTCATGAGCGGNTACAGTTCGAAATCCAAAGAGATTAACTCAACGCGATTTCGATGCACGGCAGTTCGCCCAAATCACGGTCGCGCGAAATGCCGCATATCAGCTTAAAATCAAGATACTTGGACGGAATCTTTCAAATCAATTTACATTCAACGTTCATGAATCAATATCTTCTCCCAAATTTAGCAAAAAGTACCAATTGATGCAAATAACAAAGACGTGAAAATAGTAGGTATGTGTCCAACATTTTAGTTATTCGGCACGCTTTTCCAACATATTTATGTTGGATTTTTCTGCTTGTTTTCTTTTCGGCGTGTTCTCGTCAAATTGAATCATCTCAAAATGTTGACGTTGCTCTTTCTACTTTCCTGGACTTCTGTCACGCAAGTTCAATATGCCAAGGGTTTTTTTCTCCAGCTTTTTTTTTCACGGCCATCTGAAATGTTCCTTTTTTTAGTGGCTCGGCATGTTTTGCGAGATATCGATTGATCTGCCGTTGAAACCTATGGAAAAGGATCGATAGACAGGGTGCTCCGACTACCACCTTAATTATCGATTCTTTATCACAGCTTCAAATGGCGAGACTTCGATAATCGATCATTCACGCATCGCTACTGCTTTTTTTTCTTTTCGCTGTGAAAGTCAAACCTTCCGCAAGTAGCTCAGGAGTATACTTGCCGAATCGGCTCATCTCAAAATGTTGACGCATGTATGACTCTTTCGTACGGAAAGTGAAAGATACGGAGTGTTCCAAGCTTCTCGTATCTTTGTCGAAATTTCAAACGGCTTCGCAATCCATGCTTAGACAAAGCTAAAATGTCCTAAAATCTATTGGTCCATATTTTGAAATTAGGAATTATAATTAACCTTCCAAAGTTAAAAAAACGACATATGTGCCGTTAGTGTCCGTATGCAGATAGGTGTTTTTATCTGTGAGCCAGAAGTTGTAGATCCAAATTGCAAAATGCAGTCCAATTACCCTCCTTGGTTTCATTTTGAGAATGGTTTGAACTTCTTTCTCTCTGGGCGAAAGAGGGTTCGTATCGTTCAAAGAACCTATACCTACAGTTGGAAATCAACGTCTTGAAATGAGAGTTAATTTTTTAGTCTTTGCAACATGGCGATTAACGAGGAATTTCGGTGTACACTTGAAGTTTTTTTAAGGATTTAGTTTCCCATAAGAGTCTTGAGTGCTCAGAAGCTTTAACAGTTTTGTTCAATATTTTGAATGGTGACGTTGACAATGGCTAGAGTTTTTTCCCTGTATAACTTAGACTTAGACCGGCTAAAGGCCGCTGGCCTACCGCTATCTGATATGATGCGATGGGGGTGGCTTTTCGGCACCCCTCCTGTTGGGTGGCACTTGCAGCAAAATTTTCCTCTGATCAAAAAATAAATAAATAAATTAACACTTAGACAGTTTCTTGTATCCATTTTTAAAGGTTTTGATTACCAAAAACAGAGAAAGGAAAAACAATTTTTTCACATTACCTGGCTTTGTTTGAAATTGAAACATCAAGTAAAACACCTCATTCGTATTTTTTTTAAAAACTTTCTTATAATTGTGATTTTCTATCAGGAAGTTATTTTAAAGCATTTTGAAACATCCTGCTTAAAGTGATACATAGTTTATTAACTCATGGTAAGATGAATGACCATAACCCAGATGCAACTGAAATTTTGGTTAACGCTGGAGACTTTAACGCGAAGGTAGGAAAGTTGTATTTAATCTTACATTGAGGAACCACTATTTCTGGCTCATCCATACAAGCACCTATCCGTGTCGGGAAAAAATTTGAACACACATTGATAAAAATATTTGTGTTCTTGTGTCACCTTTGTGTCACAAACTATCAGAAATTTTGTGTTGATTTTGTTACATTTTGCGGTGACTTTAGCGCAGCAAAAAAAAAAAAAATAGAGAGACTAGGAAATTGCATTCCTCCGATTGTGACGTTGATATTAATGACTCGTTTTTTATAAAATTTCTTCAAGAAAACTAGTCGGCATTTTCTCTTGAAATAGTCAACCGAAGGCTAGGGTCATTTTGAGCTTCTGTTCCTGTATTAATCAAACTTTTGTGTAGAAATTTCTGTCTGTTTACCTCGATTCTAAAATGAGCCAGAAATAGTAGTTCCTTCGATGCAAAATGTACCTGCCCAATAATTGTCCAAATGCAAATAGAGACAGGGTTGCACGGATTGAATGAAAAATATGAAAAATTGGAAATTTCCGTGAAATATTTCATGAAATTCCACGAGGCTGTGAAATATTCCCAATTTTTCAGGAGCAGAGTATGCAACCATTGCAACCCGCACTAAAACACACAAAAATAGAAGGGAGTCACAATTTTTAGATTTTGCGAAACCTGAAAAGGAACCGGTGTCTTTCAATAGATTTCATAAATTTCTGAAATTTCATGAGGTATTTCACGTCAAATTTCAAGATTCTATTTTTCATGAAAAATTGCAACACTGAGTAGAGACGACACTGGGTACTTCGCTGTTTCTTTTTTTTTTCATTTTTACCACTGAATCACCAATTCAAATCCCAACCAATACTGATTTCGTTTCTATAAGTCTGAACAGTCTGTTCAAACAGTCCTCAATCCTTCGCCGTGGCCGTTCATGGTTTAGGCTTCGACTTATCCAAAGCATCCCACATCTCATTAGCTTTGACGCCCCTTATGGCCTGCTCCGTGAAATCCGCCGACGAAACCCCTTGCTGAGCAGAGCCCCCACCGTCCCCCTTCTTGGGGGAGGAAGCCCCACTCTGTCCCGCCTTGGGTGTGGGAGATCCGCTCGTTCCTATCGCAGGGGTGGAAATCCCGCTCGTTCCCAGGGACCCGGGGGTGGAAGCACCGCTCAGTCCGGGGGTGGTAGATCGGCTGCCGGGATTTGAACTTGATGAGCGCGCCGCGGCTGCAGCCCGGTTGGCCGCGACGATCCTATCGAACTCGGCCGCCGTCCTCTTCTTGGCTTCGAGCCGCTGTTGCAGTTGTTCGTAAGTGATGAACTCGACCTTCCCGCCGAGTCGATTGCGCGCCCTCCTCGTCATCCCGAAGAAGTTCAGGCGTCCGTAGGTGTTGGCCTCCTGAGGAAAGGCATACAGAATAACTCGTTAGATATTGATCAAGGTGTCTACAAGTCCGGAAAGTCCGGAAATAGTGCTTATTTTTTAAGGACGGCCCGGAAATCCTGAAAAAGTGCGTATATTCCGCAAGAAGGTCCGGATTTTTTTTTTAATTTGTTGTCATTTTTGTCGTGATTTGAGCGAGAAATTCGATTTTTTCAACTTATAACTCGTTAGATATTGATCAAGGTGTCTATAAGTCCGGAAATAGTGCTTATTTTTTAAGGACGGCCCGGGAATCCTGAAAAAGTGCGTATATTCCGCAAGAAGGTCCGGATTTTTTTTTAATTTGTTGTCATTTTTGTCGTGATTTGAGCGAGAAATTCAATTTTTTAACTTTTTCGGATTTCGTTAATGATAATGGGAGGTACTGAAAAAGTACTGAATTTTTACTGTTGAGGAGGTACTGAAAATCTTGGGAATGCACTGAAAAAGAACTGTAAAAGTACTAATTTTTGGCCAGCCTGTCTTAGTAGACACCCTGTTGATAGACATGACACTTAGGAGACATAGTCCGAAGCACGGAAACCTCGGTGAGTTTATTGTGTTCAGTTGTACCAAATCCATAAACCGATTTTTTCAAAGCGCGATATCTCGGTTAATATTGGGCTCAGAGAAAGGCTGTTTTAGATCGAATTATTTTAAGTTAGTCTTAAAGATTAAAGCATCAAAACAGGATTCTGTGACCAGCGCGACTGACCCATTGTCAAACATACTCATGGTCAACCCTTTCCAGTCATTTTTAAGGCTTGTCATCTTTTCACCAGTTAATGCCTTTCTCTGTAATTTGATATCTTAAACAAGGAAATTTTGTCCCAATTTTCAGCGACAGTCATCGCATTTAGAAGAGAAACAATTTTAGAAATTTTGTCCAAAGGTCAGGAAAACTAAGGAAATTAAAGACGAAGAAATTAATGACAACCCTGCACTGGAAAAAAGAACACATTGGATCTAAAGTCCAGACTATTAAAAACATCGACAAGAGAAAATACTCTTGAATCAATCGAATTTTTGCTTAAATCAAGAACCAAGCCTCTTAATTTGAGCAGATTTTCTTTTGATCTAAGCAAAAATCTGATTGAATAAAGAGTATTTTTCTTGTCAATGTTTTCAAAAGTCTGGACTCTAGATCTTATGTGTTTTTTTCCCAGTGTGTACTGTCCTGAATTCGATGCTGGGTAAAAACTTCGAGGATGTTACCTTGAGGCTGATTTTTTGTGTGATATACTTCCTAAGCTCCGGTGATACCATGCACTGACATTTTCCGGGGATAATCCCTCGCTTGGCCTTGGCAGCAAGCTGGGTCTCGCCGGCGGCGTCCGTGAAATACCCGTGTTTAAATTTGCATCTGTTGGCGCATCCGTTCTTTGAGAGCAGGAGCAGTCCCTTCCAGTAGCGTATCTTCCAGGAAGCTGCAACATCCGAAATGGTAGTCGGATCGATGTATGTGTCGCAGGTTGCAGGCAGTCAGCACCGGCAATGGAGATGTTGCATGTGTGAGGAATTTGCGATTTGACTGTTGATTCTTATGTAAAAGTTCGCGAAAAACACGATGGTGCCCCTGGTTTTCTCTTAAATCAACTCCCAAGCTCAAAAAAAAATCTCAAAGTGAGGCCAAAATGGAGGGGATATCCCACCCTACCCTGAGAGTCCACCTCTACACCAAGACAAACTCTCCATGCGAAGATAGGGAGCAAATACATCGACAGGGCTGCCACTTTATTTGGGGACTCCAAAACTGAAAACACGGCATCATTGCTAATGGATTTGCTCCCTATCTTTGCATGGAGAGTTTGTCTTGATGTAGACGTAGACGTAGACTCTCAGGATAGCCTGGGATATCCCTTCCATTTTGGCCTCAACTTGAGAGCTTTTTTTTGAGCTTGGGAGTTGATTTAAGAGAAAACCAGTGGCACCATCGTGTTTCTCGCAAACTTTTACATAAGAATCAACAGTCAAATCGCAAATTCCTTACACATGCAACATCTCCATTTAAAAAGCGGTTGTGGGATATTTCGTAAAATTGCAAGAATGCGCATCGACTGAGAATCGGTTTCATTCGTTAAAGAAAACTGCATGGAGTGAAATCACTGATGCTAGTTGGGCTAGGCAACTAAACTAACTTCCTGGCAAAGCGGAGAGTATCACCTGAATTTGAAGGCACTTCAAGCCGAAGCGGGCTATGAAGGTGATTCATCAAGCTCAAGTGAGGTGTTTGAACCGGCTTGCGATAGATCGCATCGATTAGGTAAAAAATCTCGGCAGATTTTGAATTTTTAGCTCAAAAAAGGACAATACCCCTGCACAATTGCGCATGAATGTAAAGAATCATTCTAACCAAAAAAATTTGCTTAATGTAGTTACGTTGTTGTGCCAACGTTTTGACCCTATTAATCAAGTGCCCTTTACGTTATCGTAAATAAGTCAAGGAAAAGTCAAGGAATGATAAAATGAAATTTTGCTAGCCACCCTGAGTAGAAAATGATTCTCACCTGTAGAACATGGCTGAAAGGGGAGTGCTGTTAAACAGACGGATATCAGGAATAGGAGGCTGTTCTTCATATTTCGGCGAGTAATTCCACAACATCGTTACTCATATGTGTCAAGCTTGTCACTTGCAAATGTGCAGGTTTTCTCGTTGCCCCAGGGCGAGAAATGCACTTCTGGTTTAATCATCCGCTGCAAAATGGCTAACGTACTTACCTTTGACGCTCGGCACGCAACCAAATACACGCAGATATCTGTGTCGTGGGTTTTCTTTTAACGGTTAATTGAATTAGTCACGTTTTACTTCTTTTTATCAAAAACCGCCCGATGAAGAAATGACATGGAATTTTTCTGAAGTACCCTCAGTTTTTATTTAAGTTATAGTTTAGTTAATCTAATATATACTACCACTACTACCAGCCTATATCTGTTGGTTGATTTCAGACCAATATATCGACGGTAGCGGGTTGATTATTGAAAACGATAGACAAAGATGTAGACAAAGAAGACAAAAGGGAAATCAAGCAGTCCTCTTATTAGAAGCGGCTGGTTGCAATAGACAAAGGAGGTAATGAATGGACAAACTAACGGCATCCCACGAGAGACCCTATTAGTACCCTATAGACCCTATATAGTTAGTCCATTATTTTCCTTTTTAGTCTATAACAGCCACCCGTTTCAACCACTAGGATCGCTCCATGTACACTAAGTCTTTTTTGTCTATCACTTTCAATAATCAGCCGGCAAAATTGCCTAAACCTGTATCTCGTTTGCGGTGTTTCAAAATCTTCGTCTCCATTTTATTTTATCAAAGGAGAACAAACGAACACAGTTGCTTGAAATGTTCAATGAATATTTTACAAGGAATCACGTTAAATATTCCTTCATACCTAAAAAAGATATCAATGACAGTATGTCAGCAGGGCTGCCAACAGAAATGCATTTTTGTGATCAAACTTTGTGATCGAAATAAGACTTTTTTGTTTTATTTCGTTTTCCCAAAAAATCCCACCCTCTTGAAAATAACAGCCTTTCGAAGTTTAGGTCGAAGATAGTTTTTTTTTTTTTTTCTATTGTGACGACAATCATGTGTGAAAATTCATGAAAATTGGCTCGTCTTGGTTGCGTTTTTTTACACGCTGAACACATGCGACCTCAAAAAACAAAAAAAATGAAGTTACACCCTGTCCTGGAAAAGGGATTTTTTTTAGAAAACTTAAAGTGCAAGAAAGTCGTATTCTGATCCCGGAGTCGACGCGGAAACTATTCGCATCAAATTTTGGGACACCCTGTATAGTTTTGAAAAGCCATTCTCTCGCCATTGCGT